GTCTGCAGAACATGAAGAACCAGTGGCATCTACATCTGCAGAACGTGATGAACCAGTGACATCTACATCTGCAGAACGTGAAGAACCAGAGGCATCTACATCTGCAGAACGTGAAGAACAGTGTGGCATCTACATCTGCAGAACATGAAGAACCAGTGGCATCTACATCTGCAGAACATTAAGAACCTGTGGCATCTACATCTGCAGAACGTGAAAAACCAGTGGCATCTACATTTTTAGAACGTGAAGAACCAGTGGCATCTATATCTGCAGAATGTGAAGAACCAGTGGCATCTACATCTACAGAACGTGAAGAACCAGTGGCATCTTCATCTGCAGAACGTGAAGAACCAGTGGCATCTACATCCGCAGAACGTGAAGAACCAGTGACATCTACATCTGCAGGACATGAAGAACCAGTGACATCTACATCTACAAAACGTGAAGAACCAGTGGCATCTACATCTACAGAACGTGAAGAACCAGTGACATCTACATCCGCAGAACGTGAAAAACCAGTGTGGCATCTACATCTGCAGAACGTGAAGAACCAGTGTGGCATCTACATCTGCAGGAGATTCTACAACTTTTAAAGCCGTTCCCCGTGTTTAGGAATCGACGGTATTAAAGTTGAGACTTACGAACCAATCGACTTACGAACGGACCTCTGAAACCTAACTCGTTCGCAAGTAGAGGAGGGGGGACCCTGTAACTAAACAAACTGTGGCCGATTTGTCTCACGTGCCACCGGATGAGCCGCGCGCGAACGTGAATCCAAACCAGCGCATCGGTGACAACGCCTCCAATCAGCGCGGCTGGCTCCGGTGCAGTGCCAAAGAATGTCAACGAACAAACATCGTTACTATTTCATATTCTTAGTTCTTTCGGTAAAGTCACGTTGAAGGGAAAGAGTAAAATAATACAATATATAAAACATTTTTTTATTGTTTTATATATATATTTTTATTGTTTTATATATTTTATTATTTTATTGTTTCCCTTCAACGTGACTTTACCGAAACAGCTAAGAATATGAAACATCGTTACCTCTTTGGTTTGTTTTATATATTTTATTATTTCATTGTTTCACTTCAACGTGACTTTACCGAAAGAGCTAAGAATATGAAACATCGTTACCTCTTTGATTCTGTCGGTGAAAACAAAACAAATCGCGACGTTTCGATTGCAACAAAAGCAATCGTCATCAGGTGGGTTCAAGGCTGTAACAGAGCTGTGAATACCCTACCCGTGGAGGTGGTTCAATCTCGACTCGAAGCTTTCGCGACTGCAGGAATCCATGCTCTCTGGTTCTGTCGGTAAAGTCACGTAGGTAGAAAAATAAAATGAATCACGGCGTTTCGATAATCATCATCATCATCGTCGTCGTCATCACGATCCATGGGGCAGATTGCTCCGGTGGCGTCTACTTGCTGTTTCCACTTTCCCCTCTCTCTTTTATTTTTTGTTTACGATCGGAGGAAACAAGAAGATGCTCGGTGTAGTCGGCACTTTGCTCCGTTCATCATTTCGGTTTTGGTTTTTTATGCTTTGTTTTATGTAACCCCCCCCCCCTTTTAAATGAAAGACCCAACAACATATTTTTTTCTGCTCTCCTTACCCCTTCCCTCTCTCTCTACCCCCCTCTCTGCCCCCCCCTCTCTCTCTACCCCCCTCTCTGCCCCCCCCTCTCTCTCTACCCCCCTCTCTCTCTACCCCCCTATCTGCCCCCCCCTCTCTCTACCCCCCTCTCTCTCTACCCCCCTCTCTCTCTACCCCCCTCTCTCTCTACCCCCCTCTCTGCCCCCCCTCTCTCTCTCTGCCCCCTCTCTTCCTAATCCATTTCGCTCTTTCCCCTCTGTCGCGGCGTGGCCAACGTGCAATGAACTCCGGGCCACGCTCGGAGCAGCAGCGGCTTTTGGCTATCGGCATCGTAACGAAGACGGCGGTCACCGCATTTCAGATGCGGTTCTGCGGCCGTCTGGAACGCTCTTCCTCCCGATGTTAGGCAACCGCTGGGAGCAATGCAACTTGAACATCTTACTTTGAAAAATAATTGTGCTTCAGAACCGCTTTCTTGCGCGTTCGTTTGTCCGCAGTCCATCGCCGCACCTCCAATTAGTACGGTTGGCTGCGTACGGCGCGCAGGAAGTCCCACACTCATCATCATCATCATCACGATCCGCGGTGGTAGATGGCCAGCAGAGGTGTTCACTGCAACTTCGTCGTCGTTTGTTGCGTCCGCGTTCCCTGTCTGTCCCTCGGTGTGCCGATGCGGCTCAAGCAGTGTCCATGGTCTTCATGGCACCGATCTCTGATGACGACGACGATGACGATGACGACGATGATGATGATGACGACGTTGTTGACGACGACGATGATGACGATGATGACGATGATGATGACGACGTTGTTGACGACGACGATGATGACGACGACGATGATGACGATGACGATGATGATGATGACGATGATGACGATGACGACGATGACGACGATGACGATGATGATGACGATGACGACGATGATGATGATGACGATGATGATGATGACGATGATGATGACGACGATGATGATGACGATGGTGACGATGATGACGACGATGACAATGACGACGATGACGATGACGACGACGATGATGACGATGATGACGACGACGACGATGATGACGATGACGACGATGATGATGATGACGACGACAAGCCAATTGCCGGTGAGGTCGTCCTCTCTTTCCGCTTCCTTCCATTTTCCCCGAACAACAAACGAACAACAAACGAACAACAACAACAACAACTTTGAATGTCGCTGTTTCTGTCCATCCTCACCCACGTGCCATTTCACCAATCGTCCAGGCCCCACTGAGCCTCTGCGGCTTTTGTTGCAGAAGCGACCACGTGGTTGGCTGTCACGAGCGATGAGAGCTCAACGTTGAGTGGCTTATCGTCGATTCGAGGACCTTCATTGTAACCAGGAGCGAAATACCTCTGAAGGGGCGCACGCTTCTCCACGTGGAGCGTGGGGATGTGTCCACATCGTGCCCCGGGGTTTCATCCTTCTCATTGCCACTGCCCGCCCTGCTGCATCACTCTGAACTGCAACGTCGGACAACTCTTTAGGAGTTTAGGGGGTCCTCCGGTGTGAACATAAAAGACGTCTGATTCTACTCCGCCTGTGCCTGGAGCAAGTTGTACGTACTCCAGGTGTACACTGGTACATATACAGTACACACTTGGAGATGTTAACTACCTCGCCTGGTACACAGGAGGTGTCGTGGGTTCGATCCCGACCCTGACGACGCCTGCTGCTGCTGTACATTTGAAGTTTGCGGTGTCTCTCATCATCATCATCACGGTGTCAAGGAGACGTTAACTACCTCGCCTGGTACACAGGAGGTCGGTGGGTTCTTTCCCGACCCTGACGACGCCTGCAGCTGTACATTTGAAGTTTGCGGTGTCTCTCTCTCATCATCATCACAGTTGTGAGATGTTAACTACCTCGCCTGGTGTACAGGAGGTGTCGTGGGTTCGATCCCGACCCTGACGCCTGCTGCTGCTGCTGTATATTTGGAGTTTGCGTGTCTCTCTCATCATCATCACCACGGTGGCTAGGAGATGTTGACTACCTCGCCTGGTTTACAGGAGGTCGTGGGTTCGATCTCGACCATGACGACGCCTGCTGCTGCTGTATATTTGGAGTTTGCGGTGTCTCTCTACCCGTGGTCGAGTGGAATGAGAATCGACATCACGTGGGTGAGAGTGTATCTGGCTGCCGCTGTTAAATTTCGACTCGAAAACTTTCGTGACTGCAGGAATTCAAATTCTGTTCTTCTTTCCGTACAAGCCTATTAGAATAAAAATAAAGCGGCCCGCTTTATTTTTTCTTAAATGTTATTTTTTATCGACGTGATTTTACTGCCGCTGTTACATTTGGGGCCGTCCATAATTGACGTCACGCACCTGGGGGGGTTGGGGGGGGGGTCAGACATTTGTGACGATATGTGACGATGGGGGGGGGGTGGAGAAATGTGACGTCACGTAAAAATGCGCAACTTTAAATAAATATAGACAACACGTTCCGCTTAATTAAATAGACTTTTTAATAAATGTTTTCCCCTACAACATCAGAGTGCAGCGCCACATTAAACACGCACTACAATAACAATAGTTTGTAGGAGACAACATTGATTAAAAAGTCTATTTAATTAAGCGGAACGTGTTGTCTATATTTATTTAAAGTTGCGCATTTCGATGTGACGTCACGTTTCTCAAACCCCGCCCCCGTCTCTCGTCACGGATCGTCACAAATGTCTGACCCCGCCCCTAGGTGCGTGACGTCATTTACGTACGGCCCCTTGGGTCGCGACGTTGCTTGCACGTCCCATGGTTACCGGGGGAGGAGGGGAGGGGCTCACCGTGACAAGCAGCACGCACGACGCCAGTTGGACTCCAGGCCAGGCGACCACCAGGGGCGAGGGAAACAGCGTCACACCACCCCCACCCCCCCCCCATTACCCCCTCCCCCCCATTACCCCTCCCCCCCCATTACCCCCCCCATTACCCCTCCCCCCCCCATTACCCCCCCATTACCCCTCCCCCCCCCATTACCCCCCCCCATTACCCCTCCCCCCATTACCCCCCTCCCCCATTTCCCCTCCCCCCCATTACCCCTCCACTCCATTACCCCCCTCCCCCCCCCCATTACCCCCTCCCCCCCATTACCCCTCCCCCCCCATTACCCCTCCCCCCCCATTACCCCCCCATTACCCCCTCCCCCCATTACCCCTCCCCCCCCATTACCCCCTCCCCCCATTACCCCCCTCCCCCATTACCCCTCCCCCCCCATTACCCCTCCCCTCCATTACCCCCCTCCCCCCCCCATTACCCCCTCCCCCATTACCCCTCCCCCCCATTACCCCCCCCATTACCCCCTCCCCCCCACTCTCCCCCACCCCTCCCCGCCCCAGTAAGTGAGACAGGAGAGTGGAATTGACAACAGGAGGAGGATTGTGGGAGGCTGCACGTTCACTTTAATTATTTAACAAGACAATTCGACACGAACGAGGCCCCTCGCCGAACCGGGCACGGGGAAACACAACGAGTGGGGGGGGGGGGGGGAGAAGTAAAAACAAAAAATCTCGCCCAAAACAAAAAAAATCGTTTACTGCTGAATGTCACGTCGACACTTTTTAACTTTTTTTTAACTTTACACAACAACAACAACAAAACAAGCGATTCGCTTACACGCAAAGAGGAAGGAGAACCCAGGTGACCCCTTAAGACGTGAACCCACCCATCCACTCGTTCCGGGCGTGCGGGCACCCCTAACGATGCTTACAAAGATGCTGCTGGTGTGTGTGTGTGGGGGGGGGGAGAGACAAAGGCGGACTGGCATGGTTGCTGGCCACCCACCCTCCCCCTCTCCGTGTGCCACAGGGATGCTGCTACTCGCTAACAGCCACTTGCCCCGACAGTCTGTTAGAGCAGGGGTCCCCAAACCCCCGGGCCAAGGAACTGGTACCGGTCCGTGGCCTGTTAGGAACCGGGCCGCACAGCAGCAGGAGGTGAGAGCGGTGAGTCCGAGCGTGACTCGCCCCCCATTGTTTTATTATTTTACAACTTCCCGTGCGCGCATCTTTCCCGCACCGCGCGCTCAGTCTCAGTCACGTGGTGTTGTTGGTATGAAGCCCGCAAGCGCTAACCCCCTAGTAGCCAAGATGAGTAACGAAACAAATAGTCGCTGGAGAGCTTATTTGAAAAGGGGGGGGGGAAAGACCCAATGATGAACCCTCCCACCGTTCATGAAAATATCGTCTTCCACGAAATCGGTCCCTGGTGCCAAAAAGTTTGGGGACCGCTGTGTTAGAGGCTACACACGGGAGGGGGGGTGGGGGGTAGGATCTTTGTCTTTGAAACGCTGATTTAAAAACAGAAATTATAAAAGGCGGCCGATGTGGACGCTCACTGCCCCCCCCCCCACACCACCCCCCTCGGGGCTACCGGTTAGCATGGGGGGGGGGGGAAGGGGAGAAGGTGAGGGGTGAGGGATTTTACACCTACGGGAGTAGGTACGTGGGTGAGAGGAGCGTTACGCGGATGAGATGTAAGAGAGATCGCAGCGACTGTGGGGGAGAGTTAAGTGGGCGGGGGCTCGTTCGGGACGCGTCGCGGTCAGGAGGGGATGACGACAATGACGACGATGATGACAACGACGATGACGATGATGACAACGACTATGACAATGACGACGATGGTGATGACACTGACGATGATGACGACAACGACAATTACGATGACGACGATGGTGATGACGATGGAGATGACGATGATGATGAAAATAACGACGATGGGTGGATGGCCGGTGACCGTTCAAGGCCGGCGCCAGCAGCGACGATGCAAAGGCAGCCAAAACGCGGCCCAGGTGGGAGCGTCCGGCCCCTCGGAGATGGAGCGGATGGAATCGGCTCGCACGGAGGCGGATCGACGGGGTGAGAGGTGACAGCGGTCAGGGAAGGTCTCCGTCCAGCAGTGGATAGACCGTGGCTCAATGTCGGTAAATGCCAATCGCGGGGGGGTACAGTGGCATTGTCCGTGATGACCTTTTGACCCTGGAGACTGGCAGAGGGAAGGAAGCGACGCCAATGGACGGGGGTACAGTGGCATTGTCTACGATGACCTTTTGACCTTGGAGACTGGCAGAGGGAAGGAAGCGACGCCAATGGACGGGGGTACAGTGGCATTGTCCACGATGACCTTTTGACCCTGGAGACTGGCAGAGGGTAGGAAGCGACGCCAATGGACGGGGGTACAGTGGCATTGTCCACGATGACCTCTTGACCCTTGGTGATAGACCGTACGTAAAATACAATTCGGTAATGGGATTACAGTCTACGGTACTGTATGTCACAGTACTACGTTATATGTACAATGCAGTACAGTTGTATATGGAATATTGACATTGTAAAAAAAAACATTTACATGGTACCGAAAGATGAGAAACGGGTTTCAAAAAGCTCACGTTTAAAATTATACAAAACGGATTTCTCATTATTAACAATACAAAATAATTATTTTTCGTAAAAAAAAAAATGTAGTGAATAACACGATCGTAATACTGATACGCCGACAATACTGAAATTATAGTGCGAGGAGGATGACGACAATGATGACGACGACGATGATGACGACGATGATGACGACGATGATGACAACGATGATGACGACGACGACGACCTCGTGCTGCTGATGATGTACTCCTGTAATTCACTTCCTGATGATGACGACGATGATGACAACGATGATGACGACGATGACGACCTCGTGCTGCTGATGATGTACTCCTGTAATTCACTTCCTGATGATGACGACGATGATGACGACGATGATGACGATGATGATGACGACGATGATGACGACGATGACGACCTCGTGCTGCTGATGATGTACTCCTGTAATTCACTTCCTGATGATGACGACGATGTTGTTGAAGCAGCTTCTGATGACGTGTGTGCGTACGTACGCCGAATTTCCTTCACACCGTACGTAGCCAACTGTGCTGCCGTTGCCGATGATGATGACAATGATGATGACGACGATGATGATGGTCGCGTGCTGCTGATGACGACGACGACGAGGACGTTGAAGCAGCTTCTGATGACGTGTGAGCGTACGTGCGTCGAACCTTCTTCATGCCGTACGTAGCCAACCGTGCCGCCATTGCCGATGATGATGACGACGGTGACCGCGTGCTGCTGTAGTCCACTTGCTGCTGCTGATGATGATGCTGGTGTTGCTGATGATGATGTTGGTGTTGCTGATGATGTTGGTGTTGCTGCTGATGATGCTGGTGTTGCTAATGATGATGATGATGCTGGTGTTGCTGATGATGATGCTAATGCTGCTGCTGAGGATGCTAATGCTAAGGCCGTTGCTGATGATGATGATGATGCTCTTAATGTTGCTACGAATGCTGTTGTTGCTGCTATGCGGCCGACAATGTTGCTGCTGCTGATGATGCTGGTGTTAAAGTTGCCACTAATGCTGCTGCTGATGCTAATGATGTTGTTGCTGCTGCTATGCTGCAGATAATGCTGCTGCTGATGATGATGAAGATGCTGATGTTGCTATTGCTGCTACTGGTGCTACCCATGACACTGCTGCTGCAATTAATCGCAAGCAATGATGAAATCGATGCTGCTAATTCTGCTGCTAATGCTGCTGCTGCTGCTGTTAATGCTAAAGATGATATCGAAGCTGCTGCTGCTGCTGCTGATAATGCTAAAGATGATATTGGACTCCGCTAATGCTGCGGCTGCTACAAATTCCACCAACGGCACTGCCGCTACGTACGACATCGACGCCGCCCGCTCGCCGCCACCTCCACCGCAACCACCGCAACCGCCATCGCCGCCATCGCCGCGCGGTCGGAGCGGAGCGGGCGGGCGGGGTCTCACACGAAGGAGTGTTCCTTGTTCAACGCGGCGGCGACGGCGGCGGCGTTGACGGGCGACACGAACGAGTGGTTGGCGACCGCCGAGGAGGAGACCGATCGCTCGGCCTTGTCGACCGCGCCGTTGTTGGCGGCGGCGGCGGTGGCGGCGGCGGCGCTGACGCTCGCGCTCGTGACGTTGGTGGTGCTGCCCGCGGCGCTGCCGCCGGCGTCGACGCGCCGGCAGCAGAGCAGGCGCTTGAAGGTGGAGAGCATCTCCTTGTCGCGGAACGAGTAGATGATGGGGTTCATCGCCGAGTTGAACTCGGCCAGGAGGAGGAAGAACTTCTCGTAGGCGAGGATCTCGCACGACGGGCAGAAGACGTCGAGGAGGAGGATGACGAGTCCCGGGGTCCAGCATACGATAAAGGCGCCTGCGGTGGGGGGGGGGGGGGGGCGGTGGGGTGGAGGAGTGGGGGGGGGGGGACAAAAAAAAACAGTCTAAAGTTAACAAAAGGCGACCGCGACAGACGAAGTAAGGGGGGAAACGCTCGATCCCACATGGGCACTTACAAAAAAAATCTTCAAATCTCGACGAATAACGTCTCTGTTTGAAAAAATGGCTTTTTATCTCTCTCTCTCTCGAGTTATTTTCAAACGTCTTCCTCATTGAAAAATAAGAATAGGGCTTTACCCTTTGCTGGCAATATAACACCAAATAGATTCTTTGCAAAAGGTATCGTTTGTTTTATGGCTGTAAAGGGTAAAAAACTATTTATTGTTCAAACTTTGATAACTGCTAAACAAAAAAGTGTATCCACACGCTGTAGCTGCTCACCCCCGAGCTCTAAATGCTCCGATACGTGTGGCGTTGTCTCTGTACTGTTCGCCTTGTGGGCGGTCGTCCTCTGGTCTGACACCGGTGGTGAGACTGGGCCACAGAGAAGGCTGCTGCCTCTGGTGTAGGCCAAAAAGTCACAAAGACAATGCCCCCATACATTATTATTGTCAGGGTTTGTTTGGATGGTCACCATAAGTCCTGTGCGTGGTTAATGTGCAGTCTTTGATTCCTTGCAAAATAGTTATCGTCTCATTGGTTGTTTCAACATCTTAACGCAACGCCTGTTCTATTGCCAGCAAAGGGTAAAATAGGCGATTCTTATTGTTCATACTTTGACAACTGGCAATAAATGAAAGGTATCCCACGCTGTAGCTACTCACCCCCGAGCTCTAAATGCTCCGATACGTGTGGCATTGTCTCTGTACTGTTCGCCTTTTGGGCATCGTCCTCTGGTCTGGCACCGGTGGTGAGACTGGGCCACAGTGAAGGCTGCTTACCTCTCTGGTGTAGGCCGATCAAAGACAATGCCCCCGTACATTATGATCAGGGTTTGTTTTGCATGTTCATCACAGGCGCTGTGCGTGGCTCACGCAGTCCTTGATTCCTTGCAAAAGGCGTCGTCCACTTGATGTTTGAACATTCAGTTTCATTGCCAGCAAAGGGTAAAACGCCCTCTCTCCTTATTTAACATTCTATGATAATTCCCACAAATAGTTTCAAGTTTCATTTATTAGGTATAGCCCTGTGAGCCATGCGGCTCTTAAGTCGGGTGCAACCGCAACAAACAAAATTTTAACACAGAACATCTTAAAGCGACAATAAAAGGGCCCCGTCACGTGTTCCCCACGTCACTTTAACTCCCACTCGGCCGACGTCAAACTCATTCCCGCCTGCCCACGCCGCGCGCCCTGAGAGAACGATTGCTTGAAGGAGCGCCTTTGTGAATGCAAATTATTGTTTAATACGTAACAGGGCTTTCGCCACCAATATCATCCGAAATATTGGGGGGGTTTTTGGGTTAGATCTCGTAAATATATAAATATGTATGTGTCGTTAAAACCCGCCACCACCCGACCACAGCCGAATAGTAAGGGTTGATTGTAAATTAGTACTTGGATTGTAAATGTTGTGGCTTGGCTCTCCAACACACAACCGGTGTGCTGTACTAGTATACTACACTATACACTACAATACTACACTACACGACTATACACAATACACTACACTATACACTACACTACTATACACTACACTATACACTACACTATTATGCACAATACACTACACTACTATACACTACACTGTACACTACACTACTACACACTACACTACTATACACTACACTACTGTGCACAATACACTACACTACTATACACTACACTGTACACTACACTACTATACACTACTACACACTACACTATACACTACACTACTTTACACAATACACTGCACTACTACACACTACACTATACACCACACTACTATACACAATACACTATACACTACACTACTATACACTACACTACTATACACTACACTATACACTACACTACTATACACAATACACTGCACTACTACATAATACACTACACTACTACACACTACACTATACACTACACTACTATACACAATACACTGCACTACTACACACTACACTATACACGACACTACTATACACAATACACTACACTACTATACACAATACACTACACTACTATACACAATACACTACTACACACTACACTACTACACTATACACTACACTACTATACACAATATACTGCACTACTACACACTACACTACTATACAGAATACACTACACTACTATACACAATACACTACTACACACTACACTACTATACACAATACACTACACTGCTATACACAATACACTACACTACTATACACTACACTATACACTACACTACTATACTCCCCCAACCCCCCCCCCCCCCCCCCCATAATCGATACATTATTGTCGTTGCGGGCTGGTTGCAAACCGTCGAAACTGACTCATTGGAAGAAAAAAACTTAAAAGTAACACACAAACAACAAGTTAAAAGTAAAACACAAACAAAAAGTTAAAAGTAAAACACAAACAACAAGTTAAAAGTAAAACACAAACAAGTTAAAAGTAAAACACAAGTTAAAAGTAAAACACAAACAACAAGTTAAAAGTAAAACACAGACAACAAGTTAAAAGTAAAACACAAACAACAAGTTAAAAGTAAAACACACACAACAAGTTAAAAGTAAAACACAAACAACAAGTTAAAAGTAAAACATAAACAAAAAGCTCAAAGTAAAACACAAACAACAAGTTAAAAGTAAAACACAAACAACAAGTTAAAAGTAAAACACAAACAACAAGTTAAAAGTAAAACACAGACAACAAGTTAAAAGTAAAACGCAACAAGTTAAAAGTAAAACACAAACAACAAGTTAAAAGTAAAACACAAACAACAAGTTAAAAGTAAAACGCAACAAGTTAAAAGTAAAACGCAACAAGTTAAAATTAAAACACAACAAGTTAAAAGTAAAACACAAACAACAAGTTAAAAGTAAAACACAAACAACAAGTTAAAAGTAAAACACAACAAGTTAAAAGTAAAACACAAACAACAAGTTAAAAGTAAAACACAACAAGTTAAAAGTAAAACACAAACAAGTTAAAAGTAAAACACAACAAGTTAAAAGTAAAACACAAACAACAAGTTAAAAGTAAAACACAAACAACAAGTTAAAAGTAAAACACAATCAACAAGTTAAAAGTAAAACACAAACAATAAGTTAAAAGTAAAACACAAACAACAAGTTAAAAGTAAAACACAACAAGTTAAAAGTAAAACACAAACAACAAGTTAAAAGTAAAACACAAACAACAAGTTAAAAGTAAAACACAACATGTTAAAAGTAAAACACAAACAATAAGTTAAAAGTAAAACACAACAAGTTAAAAGTAAAACACAGACAACAAGTTAAAAGTAAAACACAAACAAGTTAAAAGTAAAACACAGACAACAAGTTAAAAGTAAAACACAACAAGTTAAAAGTAAAACACAACAAGTTAAAAGTAAAACACAGACAACAAGTTAAAAGTAAAACACAACAAGTTAAAAGTAAAACACAACAAGTTAAAAGTAAAACACAACAAGTTAAAAGTAAAACACAAACAACAGGTTAAAAGTAAAACACAAACAAGTTAAAAGTAAAGCACAAACAACAAGTTAAAAGTAAAACACAAACAACAAGTTAAAAGTAAAACACAAACAACAAGTTAAAAGTAAAACACAAACAACAAGTTAAAAGTAAAACACAAACAACAAGTTAAAAGTAAAACACAAACAACAAGTTAAAAGGTAAACACAAACAAGTTAAAAGTAAAACACAACAAGTTAAAAGTAAAACACAACAAGTTAAAAGTAAAACACAACAAGTTAAAAGTAAAACACAACAAGTTAAAAGTAAAACACAACAAGTTAAAAGTAAAACACAGACAACAAGTTAAAAGTAAAACACAACAAGTTAAAAGTAAAACACAACAAGTTAAAAGTAAAACACAACAAGTTAAAAGTAAAACACAAACAACAGGTTAAAAGTAAAACACAAACAAGTTAAAAGTAAAGCACAAACAACAAGTTAAAAGTAAAACACAAACAACAAGTTAAAAGTAAAACACAAACAACAAGTTAAAAGTAAAACACAAACAACAAGTTAAAAGTAAAACACAACAATAAGTTAAAAGTAAAACACAGACAACAAGTTAAAAGTAAAACACAGACAACAAGTTAAAAGTAAAACACAAACAAGTTAAAAGTAAAACACAAACAAGTTAAAAGTAAAACACAAACAACAAGTTAAAAGTAAAACACAAACAACAAGTTAAAAGTAAAACACAAACAACAAGTTAAAAGTAAAACACAAACAACAGGTTAAAAGTAAAACACAAACAAGTTAAAAGTAAAACACAGACAACAAGTTAAAAGTAAAACACAACAAGTCAAAAGTAAAACACAACAAGTTAAAAGTAAAACACAACAAGTTAAAAGTAAAACACAAACAACAAGTTAAAAGTAAAACACAAACAACAAGTTAAAAGTAAAACACAACAAGTTAAAAGTAAAACACAAACAACAAGTTAAAAGTAAAACACAACAAGTTAAAAGTAAAACACAAACAACAAGTTAAAAGTAAAACACAAACAACAAGTTAAAAGTAAACCACAAACAACAAGTTAAAAGTAAAACACAAACAACAAGTTAAAAGTAAAACACAAACAACAAGTTAAAAGTAAAACACAAACAACAAGTTAAAAGTAAAACACAAACAACAAGTTAAAAGTAAAACACAGACAACAAGTTAAAAGTAAAACACAAACAACAAGTTAAAAGTAAAACACAAGTTAAAAGTAAAACACAAACAACAAGTTAAAAGTAAAACACAAACAACAAGTTAAAAGTAAAACACAAACAACAAGTTAAAAGTAAAACACAAACAACAAGTTAAAAGTAAAACACAAACAACAAGTTAAAAGGTAAACACAAACAAGTTAAAAGTAAAACACAACAAGTTAAAAGTAAAACACAACAAGT